CAGCCCACTCCTCATTCGCAGTTCGCGATTTTTTGACCAAAAACGGCATTCCAACGGTTCCGCACCCCCTACAGCCCGGACCTGGCCCCCTGCGACTTTCATCTCTTTCCACAATTGAAGTCCTACCTCAAGGGCAACCGATACGACGGCGTCGAGGAGGCAACATTCTTCAAGACTCTTTAAAAGTGTTTAGAAAAAGAACATCTCATTTTTTTATTCCTTATCATATGTAGATGAAGGCTTAAAAAGTGTACCTTCGTAACCGAAAGAGCATTAACTGACAGAAGCTAATAGAATTGATCGCTTCTTCATTGAATAAAAGGATGCAACCAAAAAGTAGAATCAAAATGTACGAAAAAACCTTTAACTCTTGTGCGAGGCGGGCGCATAACTAAAAATGAGAAAAGACAAAGATATATAACATTATATTACAATGAGATTCCGACCATAACGGGACATTAACTTCAATGGCTGCCAAAATGATGAATGCCCGCGATTTATCGCATAAGCATCCGTACCGCAGTCGGCCCGACGTCATCACCAATAAAATTAATACTGAAATTAATAAGCCTGTCACTTAGGTTACTCTGGAAAACAAAAATTAATTCAAATTTGAATAATGAGGAGACAAGTCGAAAGAATTCGGAAGTTTGGAAGACATATCAGGTCTTTAAGTCTAACTAAAAGCCAACCGTGATACAAATTAAGAGAATTCACAAAAACCGTAGTTGGATGTTATCAAGAGTTTCGCGTTTGTGGAAAAACACTTGAGCACAGATATCCCGTCCCAGGGATGCACAGATCAAGCACTGACCAATCCAGGTTGGAGATGTTAATTGAATTAACGCAAGGAGTCTTCATATAATCGGCATTGCCATTTCTCACTTATACGTTGGTGGTAAGCTGGTATTGAATTTTATCCGTTGGTTTGTTGATGTCCGATTGGAATCTCGGAGACGGTTCGCCAAAATCCAACTTGGCATTTTGAAAGATTGTCTATAAAATTAATTTCATGACTGCAAAAGAATTGCTTGTAAACACTTATTACCAGGCTATCGAGGTTGCTAAAAGTAGTAAAATCTCTACTTTTATTCTTTTTACTCTTCACTCTTCAATTATTTTTATCTGTGGGAACGAACAATATTATTAGTAATTGGATTCTAGAAATACATCAGCCACTTGAATTATTGAATAATTTACATCATTGTTATTCAATATTGCTCTTCATAGCCTATAGAAAGACACATTCCTCAAATTTGCTATTTTCGAAAATATAAAGTAATTAAGATGTGCCCGTCAATACTTTTTACCTTTAACATATTGTCTTTTCTTACTGCTCGAACAGATTACATAATCGTCGCCATTTCGCTTCTTCTATTAAAATTTTCCAGGTTGCTACTTTAATTGTTCTATTAAACAATCCAATGCACTTTTTGTTTGCTGTTGTTATTACAGGTGGATTCACCACGTTGGCTTGCGAAAGTAACTTCCATATTTGTCAAGACCAATTTCTTGGGTTATTCTTAACCGATATGTTCCAGTTTTTAGGCGCCGGAAACTCGCCTTCACCCTCTTCCGTTAGCTACGCAGCGTACACACCAATGGTACGAAACGCATTGGCCAGGGATCACGACGTGGACGTGGAAGTAGGATTTGTTGGTATACGCTTTAATAAGCAGTGGACGTTTCTCCGAGTTTTAATATAGTTCAGGCATCGGCAACCCAAACTACCTCCGAGGTCCAAAAACCAACCATTTGATCCCCATATAAATGCAGTCAGTTCCACAATAATGCAAGAAGTTAGTGTTCGATAAAATTGTAGAACTTTTTTTTTGTTTTGACTTACATTACATTTGCATTACATTACATTTCGTTAAGTGTTTTTTTGGCCAGTATAAGAATGCATAAAAAAGTTACTACTTACCGTAATATTAAAACACCTAGTGGAACACATTTTGTGCATTCATTGCCTTTAAATGCATTTGTTAGTGAATAGGAGGGAAATGAACGTCGAACACCTAAAGAAGAAAAATGTGGGTCCATACCACTATTTTTAAGTACTGAAATTTATCCAAATTATCATGTCAAAGATGAACATGACAACGATTCTTCATATTGATCGCTGTGCTATCAAGAGTGACCGAAAATTTCTTGCAAACAAGCAGAACTAAGAGTAGGGAGTCATACTTTTCTTAAAGCAGACTGTTGGTCAAAAGTTATTTCGCTCTTGAAAACAAACCAATGCAAAAATACAAACCAAAAAACAACGCTGGCTTTAAACAAAATTCTGGATATGCACGTTGAGACCAGTTATTCCATCCACAGTTTGTGTTGAATTAGAAAAATTGGACCACATATCCAAAAATTAAACCATTTCTATTTGAACCAAATATTAACTAGTGGCATTATTTGATCCTGAGTAATACTAGTAAACTAATTACAGGGCACTTCCATTGGATTGCTGCAAATCTTATGTGTCATTGTACTTTAACGTAACTAATATCTCCAGAGAAAAAAAACCTAGTCTAAATAAATAATTTATTACCTACTTGCTAGAATTATTCGCCATGCATTGTCCTCTCCTCGCGTAAAATGGGGAAGCAATAAAAAAGACGGATGAGAATATATATAGGTTGTCCCCACGACCGACAAATAACTGGCGTGTTAGAAAAACGAAAAGTATTTATTTTCTGAAGATTTAATCACGGGAGATTATGCCCTCTATTTTTAAATTGATTTTTTCAATGATAATCCAACTCAGTAACACCAACTATTTAAGCGATAACCAAAATGTAGGATTTTGTAATTGTACCGGTAGCTCAGAAACAAACCCTAATGGCTATGTAACATTTTTATTTTATAAAGATGAATTTACTGATCTGGTTGTTTCGTGCTTATGAGCATAAAACGGTTATTCGATAATTTGAGTTCATTACGTAATACAAGAAAAGCAGCGTTAAGCTCCTGCAAGGCAGATCTGGCAAAAATAGCAGCCCCACTAAGGGTAGTATAGAAGAGATAACGGCAACGGGTGATCCTTAACTGATCGTGAGCACAATACCAGGAGGTTTAGAATGGGCACGAATCAGTCAGAACCATTAACTATTGTTCCAAGTATACATGACTAAAAATGTAATGTAATGGCCTTGAGTCCGTTGTAGGAATTAAAATGTCCACGGGGCGAAGAATGAGAACAGAGCGAGGACGATATGACCAATGCATGCAATGCATGCTTTAGATTACCCTTACGCAGTCTTTACAGCTGGAGATCGCCATAGGACGACAAACAGGGCTGAGATTGAACACATGACGATCAGAATACACTTCAGAAATAATTATATAGGCATAAACCGAAGACAGATTTAAACAAGACAGAAGAAAATGAACATCGCACTACTTAATGACAAAGAAATTAAAGCAAACATTTCGAACAAAATGAAAGGCAAGAAATTACACTGAAGGAAATGACACACAATCACTATTGGAAACTGTTAAGGAAACAATTGTCAAAAGCGAGACAATATAAGCCCCAGACTACAAGATAAATATTAATACTCACAAATAAAACTGAAAATCACAGAAGCGAAGGAAGAGTCAACTATAAAATCCTACAGGTAGATTGACGCGCTCCAGATGATGCGTGACGATGCGCGATGACCATGATTTTATAAAAGGAAATCTATGGTTTATTTAAAAGTAAACCTCCGCATCGACTGCTCCACAACGAAAATAAAATCTTAAAAATATCCAAAAAAATAACTACACAAGAGAAAATTATATGGTAAGACTTTTCCGAGATCGAGAAAGTCTTGTGAATGCGGCATATACTGAGTAAAGTTTAGACATTTTAAAATCAGTAACTTGCAAATTCCCACCACACTATCGATTATGAGAGAGCGGTCGAGAGAATTGATCTCTTAAAGCGAAAGATTTTTAAATGGTTTCGTGAAAGATGTTAAAATAAATAGGGAGGTCTTTAACAATCTACGGATACGGAAAACGAAGCCTCGCTTCAAGAGTTACAAAAGCCGGGAACGAATACGAACTGAACACAATGTTCTAAGAATAATGTTGCGGTTATTTCCAAAAAGGTATTTGGGCCAACGAACACAAGAGTAAATAACGAAGTGCTACAACAAGTAGCTAAATTTAGGTATCTTGGATTTCAGATGGCTGAAGTTTGAGAACAGGACGTAGGGGTTAAGGCCGGAATCGAACAAAATGAAGCAATTCTCTTGTAACTAAAATTTAACGCTAAATCCCGATATCATATGTTCCAGTGCCACATTTGTTCTATTTATACAATTTCAATATTAAATGCAAATTTTAAAGAAATGAATGGGAGTAATTGTTCGATCCCGGTGTGGTGGTGTGCCTATGGTGGTGTGCGTGTGGTGGTGTGCGTGTGGTGGTGTGCGTGTGTGTGGTGTGGCGTGGTGAATATGTACCAGCTCAAACCACCATATTTAATCAGGCAGTTTATGCTGAATCCTTAATTACCGCGGAAAAAATTATATTCAAACAATTTAAGAGTGGTTACAGGAGGCAAAGGAACAAAACCTATTTCTATCATTTTTAAAAGCATATTGTCTCTTAAAATTAGAGATGTGATTCCCAAATGGAAGCCGTATACAATATTCACAGAACACAGAAGATTTGGAATGGATGGAAATGTCATGAAGGGCTTAGCTACAAAATGTGGAGCTAAACATTCTCAACTTCTTACCTCCATGAGATTTAGAAAAAATATTACTATGACCTTACAATTAACCTGCAAAAAACTAATTGCTCAGTTTTATAGGTCAGTTATTAATTATAACTTTTGAATTTGTTCAAATCATGGACATACTCACATATTTTTTTTATTTTATTGTTTTGTTTTGTTTTTATTGTTTTAATTTTAAAAAGGTCTTCAATAAATAAATATGATCAAGTTCTAACTTAATCATTTCCTTTATACCAGCTTCCTTTTAATCTATGTGTGTCTTAGTAGGGGCAATTAGGTACGATATTGGGGAAATGCATGTTTTTAAAATTTTGAAAAAAAAATTGAATGACTAAAATTATTCTTGAGGTTCTGAAATGGCACTAGACAGAATTTTCTAAAGGAAAAAATGCGAAGATATTATTTTTTATTAATAGACAAACAAAAGAACAACCCAGTGAAAACCGCCAATATATTTTTCTGAACCTAAAGTCGTAGTCGTTTAAGTAAATATTGGCTCAAAACAGGACGAAACGTCATTATTGTTTTTGCCTATGGCCCATTCAGGCTTAACTTGGGTATTAGTAAAACATCGATACACCGAATTCTAAAAGACCACTACCTACGCCGTTATACTAAATTACTTAAAATTCTCTTTGAATAGAATACTATAATTGGCTAAATTGTAGGATAGATGAGGACCCCAAATTTTTTATTTCGAATATTACGAACAAATGAAGCTACTTTTTCGAGCAAAGAAATAGTCAATTTGCATAGCGTGTATATTGATGCCTTTCAATGCAATGCATAATATGCATTATCGCCAGTAAATTTCCATTGGACGCGTGAAAGCGAATTATCAAAAGAGGTCGAATGTGAACGTCGAGAGTGGTATTTTGGGTGATCGATTTAACTACTTGCCGATTTTATAAAAAAAAAAAACGTCCCTCTACGAGAGGAGATGCGTGACTGCAACACGATGGATGCGTAGTACACTTCTCTCAAGAAGGAATTTTTTCTACCAGACTTATCAAATTAGCAATTATGATTTAGCAAACCCGTTGGAAAGGAAGGGGTATTGGTATTGGTACTAAAGTGGGGCGCCCTGCGTCCCCCACGCCCTCCTATAGAAGGTCAACAACTATTGTAGCCCAATACCGTCCGCTGCCTCATTGCCTCGGATACCGGTGTGACTCTCGCGACCCAGAGCAACGTGACATTCCTCTCCTCGGCCACTCTCTTCAGTACCCCTTTGCACTCCTTTATCAACAAGGAGCGCGTGCGCACTGACTTCAGCTCCATAAGTGCAGCCCTCCTATCCGAGCAGAAGAAGACCCTCCTGTTTCCGTGGTTGAGCCGAAGCAACTCTCTGGCCGCCATCAATAAAGCGAAAATATCCGCCTGAAACACAGTGCAGTACTGACCCAAACCCAAGCTCGAGCCCATTCTCTCGCAGTACGCTCCAGCTCCGGCTGATCTCCAATTCTGGACCCGTCCGTGTACCAGATAAGTCCATCCCAGAAGCCGACTCTGCCCTCTCTCCACTTTTCAATTGATGGGAACAGAAAGGTCCATTTGTCAAAGAAGGTCATCTCGGGGATCATGACATCACTCGGCATGCCCATGACCCCGCGATCCTTAGGCCCGCCCTCTAAAATGTAGTACGGGCCCCGATTGAAGGTTCCCTCCCTCCAGAGCCCGCAGCTCGCCAGCCTCACAGCCGTCCTGGCCGCCTCCATCTGCACCCGATCCGCCAAAGATAAACATAAAAAACATTAAATATTAACATTTTTTGCCAATCTGAATTCTATTGTTTTAATTTAAAAAGCCAAAAAAACTGTTGAAAATGTCAACCATTTTCTCTAAAGCACAACCTACACCAATCAAATTATCTCCAAAAATACGATATACGATTTCGGTGCCTAGTAAACAGGCCACACTGAAACTAAAACGTAGCTTTATTAATTAAAAGAATTATGTTCAGATTTGCAAAAAATGCTAAAAATTTTTATGTTCCTTATCACTTTAAATAATTGTTTTAATATCTAGGTTGACGTTTCGGTTTATCTTTTTGAATAACATATAGGACATATAACATCGGATGCCCTTTTCACCTTTCCGATATTTCATAGAATACCGGAGATATGAGAGGTGCCTCAAAATTGAAAAATTCCAAAATCACCGAAATATACACTGCTAAGAGCTTATGACTCTCAAGATAATTATACACAGAGATCGCCACCAGGTGGGTTTTAAAAACAGATCAGTGTATCAAAGATGTTAGGCTTTCACGGCCACAAACTACACTGCTAAGTATTTCCGGACTTTTGAGCCGTGGCCCCGAGATTACACTCGACGTTTCGTCTACAACTGCGGCAGACATTTTCAAGAGCGGCGATGCGGTAACGGTCGAAGTGATCTTCCGTACTGCTCTGCGATGACTGATTTGCCTAGTGGAGAATCCCCGGTATATAAGCGCGCTGGAGTGGGCGTGGCCTCGCTATTAGGCATAGGTCGTATTCGTCCGGGTAGACATGATGTTTTGTTTATGACCTGAATCCACGTTCTGCTGACGTTAAGGCCTTTTTCTTTTCTGTTGAAATTATTCTGATGTTTCTGAATTTCAATGGCTTCTCTGAAAAGTCGTCGATAAAAATGTGTTGTCCTGTCCAGTACCTGAGTGTCTTCAAACATGATGCGTATGCTCCGCCACTGCTGACTTGTCCGTATGTCCCAGGAGCATTGAATATATACAAGAATATGTTGTTTGGGTAAACACAACTTTTTAATGAAATATCCTGTATATTATTACATTTTTGGATTCTACCCAAGTTTCTAGGAAAATTTCATATACAATGCTCTATACCAATGTCTTCCTATGTCTACATTTTTATCTCAAATATGTCATTTGCAGGCCCTAGGACTAACAAGAATTTTTTTCTAAAAGGAAATCGTTATTTTTTAATTTGGGTTTAAGAGAATTTCTATAATCCTTTCATGACTAATAATACAGGGTGTTCAAAAAGTAACAATAAATACTAAATTAAGAAAACTTCCAAAAATCATTAAATGGAAACCCCCAAATTTCATAATTTTATCTTATTTACCATTAAAAATAAAAATAAGTTTGGATAAGATAAGGTTGTCTATGCTGAAAATGTTTAGCTTTCGAACGAATGTCAAATTAATATTCTTATATGACGATTTTACTGCGGGTTTCGTGCTGTGTTATACTTGACAACGAATAAAAAGTCAAGAAAGAAGAACATGATAAACAAAAAAGCCAAAAATGTCACAGGCTCTTGGTAAAATGTAAATTCGTCGTTTTTATTTTATTACTGTCAAAAATATGGCTCCATACACTGTTGAAGTGCGTTTCCAGTTATATGAGTGCTTTATTCCCAATAATGAAAGTCCAGCTTTGGATCTTCCGGAGTACCGGCAATTATATGCAGCAAGCAGATTACCCACTAAACAGATTTTTAGTGGAATAGTGCGTAACCTACGAAATACTTCAGCCATAAAAAAACACCAGGACGAACCCGAGAACTGCCCATGCTGAAGAAAAACAATTAGATGTTTTGCTGTATTTCGAAGAGAGGGAAGAAAGTCCCCAAAGGCAAGCCTCGCGTGACATTGCAGAAGTCAAATTGGCATTCAATTCTATTCACTCAAAATTATTTTCCATTAAAATTCCTCCCTGTTCAGTTATTAACAGCTGAAGATAAGGATGCAAGAGCAACATTTTGCGCTCTAATGATGGACCGTTACTTTGAATCCATATTTGAAACAGTATTATGGACTGACGAAAGTTTTTTTAATACGACCGGCATTATTAATAGATCTACTAGTAACAAACACCGTGTTAAAATTATTCAGAAGCAGGGTTACAGAAGTTAGTGTGGTATAATATCTATTTTTTATGAAGGCCATCTTAATGGTGATCGGTATTTAAACCTACTAGCTACGCAGAATTATCCGCTTATTGACGCTCTACTGGAACAAGTTAAACATGATCAAATCTTTCAACAAGATAGTGCTCCTTATCATACGTCACGATCTGTTATTAACTGGCTGAACAACCCATTTACAACTTGGATAGGTCGACCCGGAACAATACCTTGGACAGCTGTTAGCTCTGATTTAGATTTCTTTCTATGGGGAAACCTAAAAAATAAAGTTTATCAAAATCGGACTGACATAGGGAGAACAAAGAGCAAATAATACAGGAAATACTTAATATCAACGAATCTAAAATGGTTAGTGATGCTATAAATAAAATGGAAACTATATATACGACGTGTTTGGCGGTTTATGGAGGACATGTTGAAAATTTATTATAATACCTGTTGTTCCAATCCAAATCCAAGTCAATTCTTTAAGTATTATATCTGACATATTATAGTTTTTTTAACTAAAAATATGTCACATTTTATAAAATTTAGGTCAAAAAATTATTGATAATTTTGAAATAGCAACTATCACCAGCCTCATATATTTCTTTGGAATATTATTGATTTTAAACGCTGTGTTAGCTAACTAAGAATAGATATAATAAAGTTTGAAACCGCAGCAAAATCGTCATATAAGAATATTAATTTATCAATCTTTCGAAAACTAAACATGTTCAGCATAAACAACCTTACCTTATACAAACTTACCTTTATTTTTAATGATAAATAAGATAAAATTATAAAATTGCAGGGGTCGGTCCATTAAAAAAAAAGATTTTGACAGTTTTCTTAAATTAGTATTTAATCTTACTTTTTGAACACCCTGCATGCATTATTAGTTAACAACATATTATAAACATTGTGATAAAGTATGTTCTTGCCAACAACGTATTAAACCCAAATTAAAAAATAAAGATTTCCTTTTAGGAAAAATTGGTATTAGTCCTAGGGCCTGCAAATGACATAATTAAAATAAAAACTTAAATATGTCAAAAACCATTAGACATAGATATAGAACATTTAATTGACGAACTCAACAATGGCTAGATTGGCGAGAAAATGGACTGCATAATTTATAGGAAAACTACGAATTGAGGCCTTATTACTTTAGTGTGTGTTTGATCGACCTGGGAGTCCCGGATTATGCGGGGAGCCGGCCGGCTGAGGCGATTGGAACACTCTAAATTGTCACTAACAGATAATTGTTAATTGTTAGTCTATCGGAACGACCGCAACAGGGAAGGCAGAACATCACGAGCGACAAATTAATTTTTCTGCAACGTTCTACCGAGTACCGATCGATCGATACATTTCGAATCCAAAAAACCACTACTTGCACTTTGCACTTGCGTATTAAAACGTACCGGGAAATTAAAATACTAAGAAAGTGTCAACATAAATTGCGGTGGTAGTAAATTCTTTTTCCCTTTTAATATAAGGGCAACGAACATTAGAAAAATGACTAAATTAAATTAATTAACTATTAAAAGAACATGCAAACGTAACATTCCGCCTACCAAAATACAACGAATTTTTTTAATGTGTTATTTGTTGGTAGCGGACAGTTTAATAACCGGGCTATTTGAAGTCTTTACAAGAGCCACTCTAACTATACCGTCTTCCATTGCATTGGCGGGTCGAGATCATCTTTGATTAGTACCAGCGTACCAATTACAACAGAAGAAGGATCTTTATACTATTTGCTACGCTGATGATACGTATATCAAAATTCTTTGGACCACCGGGCCCAGAAATCTTGAAGCATTCGCTGGAGTAGTTGTCAACGATCTAAGTGACTACCAGAAGTCGAAGTGTAATCGTTTTCAGGGGTGCCATCACAGGTTTCAATGTAAGAAAATAACCCGGCGTGAGGGCTGAAAGGTCGTAGGGATCGGTAAGGTAAGCTCAGTATTTTTCAACTCTGGATCTAGCTAACGGTTTTAATTTTTTTAATTAATTAATTTTCTAATTTTTATGGACCATAGACCATTAGTCTGGTTGTTTAACCTAAAAGGACCAAAATCAAAACTTATGAGATGGAGACAAACTAGAAGAATTTGACTACGAAATTTTTTATAAAAATGGCAAACAAAACACAAATGCGGACGCCTTGTCACCAATAAAATTAAATGCTTTAGAAACCGACTCTATTTATAATAATACTGGAGATATTGATCTCGATATTAATACATTTTTAGACAACAATTTTCATCCGAATAAATTAGACTGGAATGAAATTTCAAAAACACTCGAGGAAATAGAAAATAAACACCTAAAAAGTCCAAAAATAATCATCCTCGAAAACAAACTTTTCAGGCCAGTTTTTGAAAATACAATACATAGTACTAATACTGACGAAACTTTACAGGGAATACCTATATTAAATGAAATTAATAACAAGAACGAAATATATTAATTAAATATAAACATGAAGGTAAAACTAATCACAGAGACATAGAAGAAACTTGTAAATTTCTAAAAAATAATTATTACTGGAAATCCTTAAAGTCAGATGTTACAAAATATATTAACGAATGTGAAATTTGCCAGCGAGCAAAATATCAACGAAAACCACCAGATCAACCTTTAATGTTAACTGAAACACCTTCAAAACCATTAGAAATTATACACGTCGATACCTTTATTGCCGGCGGACAAAAATTCTTAACTATAATTGATAAATTCTCTAAGAACTGCGATTTCAGCATGCCAAAAATTAGTACATTTCTTCTCAATCTATGGAATACCAAAACAAATAGATAAAAAATCCGATATTATTTCACTTA